GTGTGTGTAGTGTAGTGTGTGTGTGTGTGTGTGTGTGTGTGTGTGTGTGTGTGTGTGTGTGTGTGTGTGTGTGTGTGTAAAGAAAACAAAATATAAATTTCCATGAAAAATTGCACTTTTATAATTTTTTATTTTATTATTTATTAGTTAGTATTTTGATCTATCTTAATTTTTACAATTTCTTCTTAATAGTATTAATTTTAATTTTGTATTACAAAGCAAACATTTAATATATACATACTAAATGTAATCATTCACGAGTACGTGAGAGAAAATCGCTTATATCCGAAATGAGACACGATCGATTTTCATATATGTTCGCCTTCCATCTGTAAGCTGCAAAGTTCATCTCCGAAATAGGCTATTATGGAAGCCAGAATACCATGTCTCGCAGATAGTTTCTGCAGTTTCTACATAAAATTTTTGCAGCTCGAGTGACCGCGAAACAGATACGGCACATACACAGACATTCTATCCGCTCGATAAACTCAAAGGCAACAAAATCGAGAAGCTTTGGAATTCGAGTGAGAGCCAACGAATGATGGCTTGAGAGATTGAGAAAGCAGATTGGGAACCGAGAAAACAGCCGCGATATTAGGAACTTTAGGAACTTTATCGTAATTATTTCTGCCAAATAGAGAGAGAATGGTTAAGAGATCAAATTAAATAAGAATATCGCGCATAAGATATTTTGGGACGAATATTATCGTCATAAAAAATTCTTCGAAAATTCTTTCTCTCTCATTCTTTATTTAGAATTACTCGTGGATATTCTTTTGTTCATTTATTGAATTATAGAAATTTCTTATAGAATACCGATTTATTTTCAATTAATTATTAAAAATAAAATATTCTTATCAAATTTAAAATGTGTGATTTATTTTGCAGATTTCTAAAATGTAAAATTCTTTTTAGATTTGAAATAATTTAAAATAATATTGATATATAATATAAAATAAATTGATTTATATAATCTTTAATGATAATTTTAGTAAACATATAATATTATTTTACCACAAAATTAAATTATAAAAAATAATTCTAAAATATATTTATTATTAAATTTCAATTCAATTTACTAGAAATTCCATTAATGAAATTATAATGAAATTAATCAAATTAATCAAATTATATTGAATTAATCAAATTATATTGAAATAACTTTCACAAAATAGACCGAAACTTATTAAAACTGTACAAGAAAAATTGTAAAAAAAACATCAATGAATTGAATATATACAGTGATTGCAGATCGAAATATTGCAGCTAAAAAGCTTTCTTCGCGAAGAGAGTTTTGAAGCTTGTTAGACTCATCTAGATGCATATAATAGGCAATCAGTGTTGGGCAGATGTAATTAAAGCGGAATCGAAATCAGGGTTTTCTCTTAGCGGAACGAGAGTAGAACGTTGTCGTTGGAAAATTGGTATCTAATTGATATTCCGTCAGGAAATTGAAAATCCTATTTTAATTGAAACCAATGACACTTAATGAAAATCGGAATTTTCATTTTACTAATACGCGACCATATTACCAGACTTTCAACCTGTTAATAAGCCTCATAATAATAATGTAAAAGTTCATAATCATCAATAAAATTTCATAATCATAATCGGTATAATCCATGACATCCTCGCTATGATTTATGTGCGCGCTCGAGTAAACGAATCGATTGTCAACATCTGTATACGACCAAGCTTCGTTTACAGCATTCAATAGATAATTAAACCAACGTATTTAACGTGAGCAACGTCGAACAATACTCGCGTGTCTGTTCTCTTCCCAAATTCGTTTAGCAAACGAATCGCGAGCGCAATGATTGCTGGTGCATTGCGCGTACTGATCACGATTTCATCGAACCGTTTTCCACTCGTCGATTAAGCGTTTTGTTTAAACGAAGGTCGTATCATCTGGAAAAATCGCCATTTAATTGGTCACCTTGTATGTGCGATAACAATAAAATAAAATAAAATCATTGCGTGATTTGATTTTATATGATTTATACATGCGGAAATATAACAAATTGTAATTAAATACACACAATATAACAAATTTTTAATTATGATAGCTATGAAAATAATTAACTAGAAAATAATTAAATTAGTAACTGTAAATCGTTAATTAAGCTTCTAAATAAACACATCAGATTCTTTTCTTTGTGCTTATATGTGACATGTATATATCAGAGAATTTCAGATTTAATTATTACAAGTGGAAAGCAGGTTATTATTATTATATTTGGGAAGAGTTGAATTATAAAAATTGCTATTACCGCCCCGTTATTGATTGAAAGTATTACGTCCGCGTGTAATCGTGATACAAAATGAGCTGGGCTTAGTATACAGCATTCGGCTTTAGATAAGATTTCAGAGCGAATCGGATTTGTGCTCGGGCGTTTATGTACGCCGACATTGCAATCCACGATCGAACCGTTCAAATCTATTTCGAGGTATGATTTACGTTACCACGTACCGCGTACACGCGCGCCGTCCGTCCTCCCTTTAACGCCGCACACCACGTTGCTCTCCCTTTATCCTTGTTCCCATTTGAACGAAAAAGGACCATTGTCCGCCCAATGCAGCGACTGCTGTATTGTATG